TTTACAGTTAGTTTTTATAGAATTATTTGTTTACTAGCTGTACCCGACCACGCATTGTTGTGGCTCTAAAAAGTATATAATCATAACATTTAACAAAAAGTTAAAACCGACTTCAAATTGATAAAAAATAAATTATTTATTTGCTACTCTATGGAGTGGATTTTGTTTCCTAAAGTTATATGGGACCACCCTTGAAGTATTTATAAAAAAAATCTTAAAATCGGTTCTCAAGCGAAGATATCATATGAAATTCCTTAAACGATAGTCCAATGTGAAACTTTTTCCAATTTAATAATTTTTTAATTTTTTCTTCTAAATTTAATAAGACTACCCTTGAGGTAAAGACTTACTTACTTACTTATCTTCACGCACAATCCCTGACGGGGTAGCCAGAGAGAACAGATCGCCAAGTGTCACGACTAGGAAAGAAAGGTAAAGACTATTTAATAAAAAAAGAATCATTAAATCGGTTCACACCCTGCGAAGAAATCGCGTAACATACATAAAAAAAACATACACTCGATTTTAGAACCTCCTCTTTTTTGAATTCTGTCAATAAAATCACGCGCGCATTCGAATGCAACGTTCAATATTCTTACGCCGCCACTTCCTCTTGTTGCCGCCCTTCACAAGTCCCTTGCTGGATATAGACCTCCTCCAAGGAATGCCACAAAACACGATCTTGAACCACCTGCATCAATCGTCTGCACTTCTTGCATGTATTACCAGGTCATCACTTTAAACTTAGACCACCTTAAAATTCGCCTACCGATACGAGACTGCCACTCGAGAACCTTTCTTTCCTATCCGTTGAGCCTGTTCCTATCGTTTCTTTGAGCTAATATATTTTTGTTTCTAAAAATACAAAATAGTATAGTGTGCGCGATTGAGGGAGGGTAGGAGGTCCCCTTAAAACTGGGCAGGACACATCATTTTCCTTCTTTACGCGGAATTAAGCAAATTAGTTTATAAGTATTTTCGAGAGTGGTGTGTCGTGCCTAGTGTGCTGGTGCTGGGGGTGGTAGTGCTGGGATTAACGGCGACGGGTATAGTGCGCGCGATTGAGGGAGGGAGGAGGTAAATTTTAAATTTACCGTGATGAAATAAAAATATTGTTTTCATTTTAAATTATAATATTATTGTAGTAGTCTTAATTTTAATATAAACCATAAACAGAGAATTCATTTATTTCACAACAACAACAGTTTCATTGGACAAAATATTAATTAGTCAATACTTGAATGTTGTAAATAAATATTTACTAAATTCAAGATTGAGGTAGTTCAAACAGAAAGAGAAAGAAATAACGTCAGATTTATTAAATACGCCTCGAAAAAGGAATTCATATTTGAAAAGTTATAAAATTAGCTTATATTATAGGACTTCCCTTTTTGCATTTCCTTTTCATCTTTGGAAAACTGTGCAAAACCATAATTATCAAAATACGAAATATATTGCAAATTGCGGCAGATACAAACCACAGAGAAAAGATAATTTCCTACAGCGAATTTACGAACCGTAACAAATGAGAAATGCAGTGCAATATATTACATTCATGCTGTAAAAATTAAATACAAGAAATATAAGAATTCTGTTTTCCCGTTCGAAACACAGGTAGCTAATGTACGGGGATAAGAACGGTTTTCCGGGAAGATTAATGAGACAGCTTTGAGCGCTGGGCTATTGCACCTGGTCTCTGATAGCTGGACCTGCAATTCGGGCTTGCATTCCCTGTTGGTTGGTGCGCTTGTAAAAAATTGCAGCGTCCGTTTTCCTATTGGTTGTAAGGTTCTACAATTTGTCTGATAGATTTCTTTTAACGCTCAAAGCGCTTTCTTTTATGTGCAAAATTGTTATGTTTTGCTTTGCTACTTTTATTAATGACGAATGTTATGTTATTGTTAAATAAACCGTTCAGTTATTGCTTGTAAAGTACAAGTTTCAAAACTTTATTGCCCTATTTACAATTTCTTTGGAACTTCCAACAAAGTGAATAAGTGAATAAAGTGAGTGCAGTAGAATTCGCAAGATATGCTCTAGGCAGAAGGTTATAGACCGAATTGCCTAAGACTAGCGACCCTCACCGGCTTCGCCTGGACCTAGCCAGGCAAAGCCGGTGCAGGTCGATAATCTTATCTATTAATATTGCCTTATTTAGATTTAAGGTGATCAAATACAATTTATTTTAACAATTAAAAAAATCTTGCTTTCTCTCTGTTCGTAAAGTTTCATTATAATCTGTTCAACTATTCCGAAATTTAGTCCGGACAGACAAAAAAATAGACAGACAGGCAAAATTTTAACAGTGGTTATTTATAACTTACTGGCATGCAAATAACCCCTTTAGCTCAAATTAAGAGTACCCTTAACCGTACCGTGTAGTGACGGTGTAAGAAAATTCACTACCATATATCGTTCCATGGGCGTCGTAAGTAAAGACGATAGAGGGACACAAAACAGGAGATGGGCAGCTGCGTCTCCTTAATCACAGCTAAACATAAAAAACCATGGTAGTCTACCCGCCTACCAAGCGTGGCAAATATGGCAGTACACTTTTGATAGGCCGTAACGGTAACCGACGAGTATGCACATGTAAACACATGGATGTAAAAGAAGCGAGAGAGGTGTGTAAGCTTGTCAAACGTATAAGTCCATTGTCTCTGCCTGCTCCTCTGGGTGACTGGCGTAAAAGTTTTACATAAACTACGTTACCAACGAGTTATGAACAATATCATACGTACCAATTGTGGTAATATCATGTTTTATTAACTCGCTTTCGTGTTCGGGTTGAATTTAGTATTTTTTTTTTATATAGGATAGGGTGACAAACGAGCACACAGTCCACCTGATGGTAAGTGGCTACTGCGGCCCATAGTCATCTACATCTATCATCAATAAAGACTCAAGGTGCAGATGAGTTGTCACCCGTGAGGACCAAGATGGAATGCCTCTTTGCCAGCTTTCTGTGAGAGCGTGGTTCTTCCCCGGTCGAACCGACCCATTCGTGCTACAACTATACTACTAATATAGCTGCAGCATGGCTCTACCACGTAAAAATAACTTCCCGTATAGGTAGAGACTTCAAATTTTGAACATAGCTAAGAATCTTTTTTTATATAATAAATGTGACTAAAGCACACAGTCCATCTGATAGTAAGTGAATGCTTTGGTCCATAGATATCTCGATTAAAAACCAAAATGCAGATGTGTTGCCACCTCTGAGTACTGAGATGGAATGCGTCGTATCTAGTAAAAAAGGTCTTCGATTCTATACATTCACCATATAAAACACAGCAGTATTAAGCTGATATTTACTCTGATATTGTGTGAAAGCGTGGTCCTACCCCTTTAGAGACGACCTATTTGTGCTACAACCATAATAATATATCTACAGCATGGCTCTACGACGTAAAATAAATCTTAAATAAAACAATATTTAGGTCCACTATAAAAATTCATATTTAGCTTTACAACAACTTGAAGGAAGTTATTAATAGAAACGACTCTATAGTCTCTAGAAATGTTTCTTTACAATCGACGTTCGTTTAATCACCTGCGCTTAATATCTTTATCGCTAATAAGCAAGCGCCATTTAATTACATTAATCATCCCTATAATAAATATTACAACGCAACACAACCTAGGCACAACGATCGATCAAAAATAACGAGCACTTAACAAAAACTCATTAGTACAAGTCTAGACCTGATCGTTAATGCGGCTTTAAAACAAGTTCATCTTACTCGCCTCTTTTATCTCCGTCAGTGGGACGCAGGTGCCTTCAATGCATCCCGCACCCGTCCCGACCCTCCCCCTCTGTTCCCACACTCCCTTGCGTCCGCTAACATCCTACGATAACACATACTGTCACATTCCTTGATGAATTGCCTGTTAGATTGTCTGGTGCTTTGCACTTATTTCAGTTCAATACTGACGTTTTGTTTTGCGCTATGTTAAATTTATTACATTACCTTATTAAGTTGTTACGTGTCTTCGCTTCCTAAATGTTTGCTGCTTGGACGGACTTCGAGATTGTGGTGTTTCGAGTTTTTGTTTTGCACCAATTATGAAATGTTTGAGACGAGGTTTGAGATTTATTGCGACGGTTAAGGGCAGAAAATAAGAGTAAAAATTGGCTTAGCAGATTTATTGCAGTGTGATTTTCCGTCAGTTGTTTATAAAGACGTTCAAAAGTACAAAACTGAGCGTTAAATTTATCTCAATTTTTTTTTTATTTACTACTTTCTCCGCCGTGTAGTGGACGTAAAACAATCTACTAATACATATCATCCCATGGCTGTCGTAAGATCTTCTAATCTCTAGTGGATGTATGATAGACTGTAATAAATTAATGAAATAATCTTATTTCTTGATAAGTCACTCTTCACGTTTGCTGTGACTCCAATTGCTAACGTCGCTTTTACACGTTACAACCTGTTGATCGACCAACGAGACTGGGAAAATGTATCAAAAACGCCGAATCCAATTTTCACTGGTTTGGTCACACTGGTGCTAGGAAGCTCAACGTCGCTCAGCGAGCTATGGAGAGGGCTATGCTCGGGGTTTCTCTGCGTAATAAACTTAGAAATGAGGATATCCGCAGTAGAACCAGTGACCGACATAACCCAACGGATTAGTAAGCTGAAGTGGTAATGGGCCGGCCATATAACTCGAAGAACCGACAGCCGATGTGGGAGAAAGGTTCTGGAGTGGCAGCCTCGTACCGGTAGGCGAAGTGTAGGGTAACCTCTCACTAGATGGAGTGACGACCTTGTAAGACATGCAGGAAGTCGATGGATGGACCGTGCTTTGTGGCATTCCTTCGGGGAGGCCTATGTTCAGCAGTGGACTTGTGAAGGGCTGTAATGATGATGATAATGATGAAAAAAATGAAGTGATTATTTTATTATGTATGATTGAATAAAAAGATAAATCAAAGAACCCTCTTTAGAAAGTACTCGGAGTATATAAATTAAAAAGCGCTTAGTGAATGATAAATAATGACCTGTTCTTTTTTCTTTATAGATGTTAAAACAAGATGGCGCGGCGATTTGACCAGAGCAATGCAGATGAAGATTGCTTCTAACACAAAACCCAATCACCAACCAACAATGATGGGGATACAACACCAAGTCGTTTTAGAACCATTGGAGAAGAAAGTCCTACCTAAAAGAAGGAGTCTCCTAGATCTCAAATCCCTTTTAGAAGATAGAGGGGGCACTATAGAACATAGAAAAGAATGTGATCGAGCAGCTTTCAATGATAACGTTATTAGCAATAATAGATTCTACCGCCTAGACAGTAAAGTTAGTTTTGAAGAAAGAACTGTGAGTGATCATGGTGATAGAGAGAGGTGTAAGAGAAGGTACGGGAAGGGAAGTTGGTGCTGTAGTAGGATTAAAACTCTAATGTTCTTATTAATAGTGGCGATTTTTGTTGACACGAGACTGCAGACGGAAGCGAGGAATACAGGTAAGAGAATATACAATATTGATGTAATTATTAATTAATTAAATATTTTTTTAGACATTACTCATGTAATAACAGCAGCCGTCACATAAAATAGCAGCGTAATGCTGCTGTGTTTCGTATAGTGAGTGAAGAGAACCGGAGAGACCCTTTTACTTAAAACGAGGCATTCCATTTTAGTCCTCAGGGGTGACACCGCATCTGCATTTTGATTTGTAATCGGGGATAAATGTAGATGTCTATGGGCCACAGAATCCACTTAGGTGGACTGTGTACTCGTTTGTCACCCTTATTCTACAAAAAATATTCCATTGTTAAGCTTTCTCTCATTACTAACGAATGGTAAGGATTAGTAAATCAGTCGGTAAGGGTCATAATCAGTGCACTGTGGCAAGCTTTACATGTTCTCGAAATGTATTTCATTTCTCTATACGTAAAAATAAAAACAATTCCACTCGTGCCATAACTGTACCGTGAATAAACTCGAGTTGCTCGCGTACTATTAAATTTCCGGCGAGCGCCCGGCCCTTGTCTCTTGAAAACTATCATTAAACTGTGAACATAAAGCCGTTACCGCGGCTAGAGTCAGGAAACGGACCTACCAGTCTTTTCTGCCTGGGTATGTAAGCTATTGGCTATTTCTGCATCTATGTATCAGTTTAATCACAGTGATTTTTCGGTCGTAATAATGTCCTCAAGACCGAATTTCAGTCACGGCGGCCAGCCTGAACGGTGACTAGCCATCGGCGCAGGACAACTTCAAGCACAGGTTCACTGTATTCCATCACTCATAGTCCGAAGGGACGGTAAACCGACACGAGCGGAGAGAGATCAGAGACCAACGGCTTTACGTGCTTTCCGAGGCTCCGGGCAGCTACTGAGAATTTCTTGATGGAAAAAACCAATAACTATTTTTTTTTGCCCGAACCGGGTTTCTAACCCAGTACCTCATGTAGTCGAACTATAATTGGAAATGACTCCCTGTAGTGCCCTGCACAGCTATTTACTATCAGATTAATTATTACCTCGATTTTTACTCTAATTTAATAAAATGAGTAGAAAAAAAAATCAATATGTTACATCAAAAAAAATCCGTAAAATTAGTTTTAATTAATGTTTAGTATTCGTGTAAATATAAGAATTCATCATTAAAAAGAGGAGAACTTTAAAAATAGTTGAGCAGGTTACGCGATTCGCTTATCAACAACCTAATTTGATTCTTTGTGTTTTAAAAACTACGGAATCGATTTTAATTGAAACTTACTCAGGTAATCATTATTAATATGGCTTGGAGACGATATCATAATTATTATTCCCGCGACAGGCGAGTCGATAAACGTTCACTATCACACGAAGATACGATTATAAGATAATACTACTGCAGACTGCGGCTCGCGCTTGTTTTACTAAATGAGATATATGTCATTCCAATTCATTTATAAGGTTCTCTATTAAAGTTCACGATTGTAGAATATCAAATTAGTTAAGTATGTAGTACCATTAACGAGTAGTTAATTATATATTAATTGATTTCTTTATTCATGGTACAGTATGTTGAAATAAAAAAAATCATGAGACAAAACAAACATGCTATTTCTATTTCTCATTCCATTTTCAAAACAAAAAGCTTAGCGGTAAACCCGCTGAGTAATATTGCATATCCCTGGAGGCAACGTATACCATTCGCGATGCGAACTGTCCGGCTGAAACAAATAGCCCGCGCTGTACGTCTCTGTGAGGTTTTACACGTCTCGGTGCAAATAAAAATTATTTCTAACAAGCACTTACTCTGTGTAAGGAATCGCGGCTGTCTTACTCTGTGTAATTTTACTCAAAAGGTGTAAGATGATTGTTTCGAATTTTTTTTCGTGAAATTTTGTTTTGCTTAACTCTCCAGTGAGTTTACTTCAAAATATTTAGATTATATGAAGATTACTATTTTTTTATGCTATATATAAAACCGATGTTTTAACCATCCAAGTTACTAAGTTAACATCCATGTCTCAAATTAAGCCTAATCCTATACGATAAAAGCCGGATGGCGGATTCGGTACCCATGTTATTTTAGGTTCTGTACGTGCCCTTAATCATTACGCTATTGTCGCTTTAAACACTTTTATGGAATAATGTGACAAATGAGCACACAGTCCAACTGATGGTAAGTAGATGCCTGAGTCCATAAACATCTAGATATATCCTCAATTGAGATTCAAAATGCAAATGCGTTGTCACCCCTGTCACCAGTGAAAAGTTTCTCCGGTTCTCCACACTCACTATATGTATCTATATATTAACTTCATTGTCAAAATACTAACATTTTAATAAAAATTGTAGTGATAGAAGACAAACAATATATAACTAGCTTAGTTCTCAACAGTCCAACTTAAATATCGTTGCAAAAGCGCAACGAGGTTTAACCGTTCTCACCTATTACAAAAGTTCGTTGCGAACTGAAATACCTGTAAACACATTAAGTTCCTACTTTGCAACTGCAAAAATGTTGCAGTGTTACACTTTGGTGTATACCCGCCATAAATCGGGCCACAAGCGCTCGACGAGAGCTTAAAACCCCACTTAAGACTCGAGCACACTTACCAAATATACTTCTGTACTATTGTACATACAAAGAAAGTGCGAGAAAACAAACTTCGCGCTACCCGCGCCGTCTTTTGTTTAGCTAGCCTCTATTATTGTGTTGCTTTTGGTTTTTATTATCTCCACGATATATACACTACGGCTACGACGTGATGTTAACCGAACTTTTTACCCCGTTTTCTAATTCCGGAGTGTGTTATGGAGAGTAAAATGTGATTTCATGTGCTACTTTATGGTATATTTAACGCCGACATAAAAAAAGAAGGTGCTCAATTTCACTCTATGTTTTGCCACGTGTGTATATGTTGCGCCATGTTTTCGCTAATTATGAATATATATTTTTTTTAATTGATGGGCTACTTTAAGAATGGTCCCAATTAAATTTAAATAAAAAAACATTTCAGTGTAATTGTTTAGACGACGTTCTTGTTGTTATCGATAAACATACGAAGTAATGATATAAAAATAAAGCTAAACTACGACTTCTACTTGGAACCTGAAAATTTTATGGTATTTTGGAACCCATGTTCGGTAGAGACCCATTCGTGATTAACGAGCACTACGTTCGGTGGAGTCTATCATTTAAAATTAAGCAAGTAACATTTATACAAGTAATATAATAACATTTTTAATCAAAAAATCCTAAAAGCCCAGCTGGACATTGGCCTCCGGCACTCCAGTTTTCGGGATGATTTTCCCTAATCGCATTTCATACTAAGTCAAAGGCAATTTTAAATTAATATCTTTCATATTATTCTTTTTTCTACAAATTAAATTAATTTAAAGAAATAACACTATCGGCTTGATAGCATAGTGGTTAAGCCTTTGTTGCGTCGATACATGACCCAGGGTCCGAATCCCACACGTAAAATCTGCTTGTATTACCTACAAATAATTGTTCTGCATGCTTGTCTATGTGATAATTACGTGAGTATGTACACCACAACAATACAGGAGAAAATCCTAGTATTAGTGTTATGATATTTTTTTAATTTGTCTAAATGATGATGTCACAAATTGCGGAGTACAGAGTTTTAATTTTTCTTTCAATCATATTCATCAGACTTGACCTAGAAACCTATAAAATTCTTATAAACAGATTAATTCGAAAGCTACGATGGAAACAGTAGAAATTATCGAAGGTACGTTAAGACACGGTCAAACAATATTCTCGCTTGTTCGCTTTTAGGTTAATATGATGTATTGAGTATGCGAATTAGAAGCTGACGTGCGAATGACGTTCGATTATGAAATGATTGGAATCTGTCTTTATTATATTATACATGTGCATTTCAAATTAAAACTATACACAGAATACCAGCGTAAAATAGCAGCTTAATTCTCCTGTGTTTCGTGTGGTAAGTGTAGAGAACCGGAGACCCTTTTTACTGGAAAGGAGGCATTCCATGTAGTCCTCAGGGGTAACGACGCATCTGCATTTTGATTCTTAATCGAAGATAAATGTAGATGTCTATGTTCCACAGCATCCTCTTACCATCAGGTGGACTATGTGCTCGTTTGTCACCCCATTCTATTAATATAAATTGCATAGATTTAAACTCGTAATCCGAATGAATTAATATATCACTAACCCGTGTGTTAATCATGATAATTATAACTTGTTATGTATGTACTTGTATGTACATCTATACGATAATATACATATACATATAATTCAAATTGAAGTAGTGTCGAAATAACTGACTAGGAAGACAGATATTTCGATACTAAGTTTGGGTTATTTGCATGTTATATAAGACATGATTAACCATTTTGAAATTTCTCAAAATTAAGAATCGCTGAACCAAATGTAATGAAACACCAACAGATGAGAGCAATACCAGTAGAGATCTAGGCTTTGTTTTATCCGAAATACATGCAAGAGGTTTTTATTGAAACCGATAAACAATATATAACTTGATTTAATTTTAAACTCTACACGGGTTGGTTTAAAAAGTACTGACCTCGAAATAAAAAGACGTGCGTTCTAATCCGTCATTTGACCACTGTCGTAATGTAAGAATTTTAAGCTTTGTTTTTATACGTCTTATGCTAAGTAGATGCTGTAGACCACCGACACCAATATCTATCATCGATCCGAATTAAAATACAGATAAGTTAGTATCCCTGAGGGTTAAAATGGAATGCCTTGTTACCATTCAAAAGGGTATCCGGTTGTCGTCATTATTTTTTATAGAATTATGGTGACAAACGAGCACACAGTCCACCTGATGGTATGTGGATGATGTGGTCCATAGACATCTCCATTTATCCTCGATTAAGAATCAAAAAGTAGATGCGTTGTCACCCCTTAAGACTAATATGGAAAGGAGGCATCCAGTAAAACGGGTCTCCGGTTCTCTACACTCAAACGAAACACAGCAGCATTAAGCTGCTATTTTACGCTG